AGAGAGAGAGAGAGAGAGAGAGAGAGAGAGAGAGAGAGAGAGAGAGATCCATGTGGGTGGCTAGTACACATCTGGTGAAGTCCGTAATGCGTAATGGTGAAAGTTAGTTAAGAAAGGAATAAAATCATCAGGGAATTCTAGAGGGGGATGGTGGTTAGTGTTATGATTTTTTAAAAATTCATAAAGATCTCCGGCTGCAGTAGGCAGCAGAAATGCTGTAGGTCCCCAAATGGTGGTAGGGAGCCATGTAGCAGCAGGCAGTGGGCCCTGGGAGCAGCCAGCTCCAGGCAGAGATGGCTGCCAGACCTGAGCGGTGGCAAGTCCCAGGAATGGAGACAAATGGCAGGCAGGTAGACAGGAGACAGAAATATGAATAGACACGACATGTAGAATGAGGTTAAATATTTATTAGTTGAGTTATGGAGGAGAAGACAAAAAGAAGAGAAACAGGGGTGAGGGGGGAGAGAGGGAGAGAGAAAAAAGAGGACACAAAGAGAAAAGTGGAGTGGGAGAGGGAGCGGGCAGGGACAAAGGGAACAGAGAGAGAATCAAGATGGCGAGAGGAGGGGAGGGGGCCGCAGGGAGTGGGCGTGGCTTGTCTCTTAAAGTGAGGAAAAATCATAACATAAGATTTTAATTGAGTTACTGATTTAAAAATGTCAGAGAACTTACTTGGTTGGCACCCAGAGCTACTCTTTTTGGCTCCTCCATTGTCATGAAGGTGACATTTGCCTTTGCTGCTTGGTGTAGGACCTGCCAGGTTCCAGAAGATCCTGAGGGCTAATAAATCTGTAGGAAGACAAGTCTACCTTTACCTGAGCAGCTAGGCTGTTGATTCCAGTGATTCTGTCCACGTCAGGAGATCTTTAGCTTAGATGAGAGGCAGTTTTTCCCAATGGTCAGTGCTTGGCAGTTGAAGCGAACTGTGAATGGACGTTGTTGTGTGCCCATTTGACTTCTGCCTTCTTTGGAGGAAGTAGAGTGCTGCTGCTAGGAGCCAACCTGTCTCTTTTTGTTATGAAAAGGTTTTAATAAATAAATATTTAAATATCATATTAGTTAAGGAAAGAATAAATCATCAGGGAATTCTAGAGGGGGTGGTTAGTGTGCTACACTTCATTTTAGGTGGTTAGTAAAGACCTAAGGAGTTTATTTTCGGTAAAATTATGAATAGGGCATGGACTGTTTAAATCAGTGCACTAGTTCTTTTCTCCCAGTCTTCATAGAGGCTGCAAGGTAACTAGGCAACCTAGGGGAAGCTGATGGCTCTTGATCAGATAGCACGTATTCTGGATGCTGTATTACTATGGACCCAGGTCTGGAGTTAGACTTACTGCTCTAAGTGAAGAAGAGACCCAGGGCTCTAAATTATCAGTTTCGGGCTATGCTGTTATCAGCCATTCTGATTGTGGGTGTTGTGGGCTAAAACCAGAGCAGCAGGTAGGGCTGGTGGTAATTCTACATCCTTGGAGATCTGTGCACATATCTTAGATGGGATGCTCTTGTCTAAATACTGACCAAAGGCCTGCTGATAAAGAAAATTGTGGAAAGGCAGATCTCCACACTTACCTAGTAGAGAGAAAGAAGGCCTGGAAATGGAAAACTGTGGGAATTAATCCCTAAATATGTAACAGAAAGGGAGTTAGCTACAGTAAAAAAAATCTACAGCGAAGGACAGACACTTTGTTCACAAAGGAAACTGCCAAAAAGCCTTGCCTTTTGGTTCAGCCTTTACCAGATCCCTTGGTTCTTGTAAGTTGTTCGAGAAAAGATGACTGAGCAGTTACTGTATAATATTGTGGCTTGCATCAGGGACATATGCATGACATCCCACCCCTAGATCTATTTTATTTTTAATTATGTGTATATTGGTGTCTGTGTGCATGTGAGTTCAGTTGGCCACAGAGGCCAGAAAAGGGCGTTGAATCCCCTTGAGCTGGACTTTGAGGGAGTTTTAAACTGCCCAATGGGGGTGCTAGGAATTGAACTCAAGACTTTTGCAAGAGTAATGTATGTTCTTGATGCCAAACCATTTCTCCAGCCCCAGCAAAAATACTTTATGAGCAGAATATGTTTTAATTTTATTTCATGAATGAATTGTTACACTCAAGGAGTAGTACTGAATTGTAACAATGAGAAAACGTTCCTGTCAGTCTTCTTTCAGTGTCAATGCCCAAAATCTCATTTTCTTATCAATTACATCATGGTGTTGTGAGTTGACACAGATAGGATTGTGAAGTCATTAGAATTTGCTCAGTATGCAAGTTTCTCAGAAAATTAGAAAACAACCTATCTCAAGCAATACCCAGCAATATCACTTTTGGAGATATATCAAAAGGATGCTCAAGTGTATCACAAGGACTTGTGCTCTACTATGTTCATAGCAGCATTGCTTGTCACAGCCAGAACGTGAGAACAACCTAAATGCTCCTCAACCAAAGAATGGATAAGGAAAATGTAGTACATTTACACAATGGAATACTACACAGCAGAAAAAAATGATGACATCTTGAAATTTGCAGGGAAGTGGATGGATCTAGAAGACATCATATTTAGTGAGGTAACCCATACCCAGAAAGACAAATATCATATGTACTCACTCATACTTGGCTCTTAGTCATAAAGCAAATAAAGCCAGCTTACAATTCACAATCCCAGAAAACCTAGATAAAAAAGAGGATCATACATAGATCTAATCTACATGGGAAGTAGAAAAAGACAAGAACTCCTCAGTAAATTGGGAGCCTGAGGACCATGGAAGAGAGTAGAAGGGGAGAGGATAGGAAGGCAGAAGAGCAGAGAAAAATAAATAGCTCAATAAAAACCAATAAAAATTATTTTAAAAATTAGAATTCCATTTGGGTTGAGGATAAAATTATTGTAAAAAAAAGTAACAGGGTGTGGGAGAGATGGCTCAGGGCTTAAGAGCATCAGAAGACCTAAGATTGGTTTATCACACCCTTAATTAGACAACTTCTAAGTACCTGTAACTCCAGCTCCAGGAGATCCATCTCCCTCTTCTGGCCTCTGTGGGTACCACACACACACACACACACACACACACACATCACAGTAGATTAGACAGACTTACTCTCTATGATGAAGGGTAGTGTTCACTGATGGGTTTTATACTATGAAATTATTAAGAAATGAAAGCCCAACACCATGTTGAACTGTGTGGTTGATGTCAGTGGGATTTCCTTCAGTCCCTCTTATGGAGCATGATGACATCTTCATTTGCAGGTAAAGAAAAGAAGAAAGTTATTTTCTGTGGTGCTGAGATGAAAAAATAAGCATGCAGATCTCATCAGCCACCTTGCCTCATCTTCTCCCAACATCACTTGAAAGCCATCTCCAGGTCTTTCCAGAGGGAAACCCTGAAAGCAGATGGTTGGAACATCTTGTTATCCACATATTGTCAAAACTCTAATTTCATTAAAATCTTACATAGAATATCTCTACACTTGGTGGTTGCCAGGCACCCACATGAGATCTAACAAGTCTCACCAACATGTGTGTCTAAACATGCCCTGAACCTGAGTGAGGGCCTGGCCTCGGCAGGCAGAGGTCCCTAGAAAAGGAGATAGGATAGATAGTTATGGGGGTTATGCTTGGGGTCTGTAACAGGAGGATTAATGGGGAGGGGAGGAAAAAGGGGGACTAGGAAAGGCACACCGGGAGAAACAGCAAAACTTAGAGCCATTTGAATGATAATATGGAAACCCAATACAGTAGGAGATTCCTAAAATACATACATATGTGAAGGTAATCTAAAAGGAATTATCAGAGAACAGGGTAAACAGAACCCCAACTGGGCATCTCTTGTTACCAAATGAAGCTTCTGGTGCCAAAATTGGGTTACCAAGACTGTATAGGTTGCTTTCCACAAACTGTTAGAAGTGCCCAGTTGCTGAAGACAACACCTACACATCTCACTGAACATGGAGAAGTCAAACTGGTGCCTACATAGAGCCTTCTCTCCTTCATCTTGGCATCTTTGGCACAGGAAGGTACTGTGCAAGCTACCAAAAGGAAAACATGAATGCCAAACCAGCCACCAGACCTTTGATCTACAATAATGTCTGTTCAGAATATGCTAGTGCAAAAGTGGCACAAACTTAGTGGGAGTAACCACTGATGTCTGATTTGACTTAAAACCCACAACCACAAGATGGAACTTGTAGGCAGAGACTGCTTGTTCATTTCCTGGCCATTCCAGACCTGAAATAATCACATAGAAACAGTATTAATTAAAACACTGCTTGGCCTATTAGTTTATGCATATTTCTAGCTAGCTCTTATATCTCAAATTAACCCATTTATTAATCTGTGCATCACCATGGGGTTGGGGCCTACTGGCAAGTTTCCTCCAGACTCCAAAGGGCATCTTTCTCCTTTGGCAGCTACATGGAGTCTTTCTGACTCTGCCTTCTTTTCTCTTCTGTCTCTGTTTGGAATTCCCACCTTGCCCTATTCTGCGCTGTCATAGGCCCAAAACAGATTCTTTATCAACCAATGGTAATAAAGCATATTTACACCATACAATGTGGAATCCCACATGAGTAACCCATACCTGACACTGCTGGGTGACCAAGGATTTGAGATTGGATAGGCCTGGTAGTTAGAGTAAAAGCAAATACTACTATTCTATTAAAAGAACATAGCAATAAAATTACTCCTAATGACCTTCTGCTATACTTATAGATCAGTGTCTTGCTCAGCTATCATCAGAGATGCTTCCTTCTTCAGCATGTGGGAACAAATACAGAGACCTACAGTCAGACATTATGCAGAGAGTGAGAGACCTTGGAACATTCAGTCCTAAATAGGATACCTCCAACAAATCACTCCTCTCTGGGCTCAGGGAACCCTACAGAATTGGAGGAGGAAATAGTGTACGAGCCAGAAGGGATGGAGGACACCAAGGAAACATAGCTGTCTAAATCAATAGGTGCTGTGCCAGCGCGGGCTGGAACCAAGAATCTCGGCAGAGGGTGTTCAGGTTGAATGAATGCACAAAGCACGAGGTTGAGGTGGAACAGCTTCTTTATTGTTCTGCTGGGGCTAGCTTTTATACCATGGCACCAAATGAGGAGGGGGCTGTGAAGGGACTGTAACCTGACCCCAGCAGGGATCAAGGAACGGTCACCATGCACTCAAAATTCCATCCCCAACTCCAGGAGCAGAGGGAAGTTATTATGTTTTCTTTGCAGATAAGCACCTCAAATGGGGGCAGGGATATGTAACTCGGGCTAGAGTTCCCACAAACAGGATCAACACACATATGAACTTACAGAGACAGAGGCAGCATTCACATGGCCTACACAAGTCTGCACTAGATGGCATCCCAGACTGAAGGGGAAAGTAAACACATGCTCCCATCCCTAATCCAGAAACTATCTCCAATTGAGTAAGTACCACTTGCAAATGAAATCTTAGTTTCCTCCAAGGGAGTCTCACTAGGGAAGAAAACTAGGCTTAAGGATACATGCCTGGCAGTAGATGGACAACAGAAAACTAATTCAATTGTATCTTTGGAGGTTTGTTGTCTCATAATGTCAATAAATATGTCAGCATCTTTATTCTATTTTATCTTATTTTTAATTTTTCTGTATGATCTGAAGTTCTCTGTTGGCTGCTGTGGGCATTGCACACATGTGGTCAGCAGACACATGTGCAACCAAATACCCATAGAGTAAATTATTTCCATTGCTACTTCACAACTGTAATTGTGCTGCTGTTATGAACTGTATGTAAATATCTGACTGCAGAATATCTGAGATGTGACTTCCATGAAAAGGTTATTCTACTGCCCCCACACTGGGGTCATGGTCCCTGGGATGAGAACCATTGACTTAGTGGGATTAAAAAGGTTACCATGCATGGGAGCCAGAAGCCAATCCAGTCCTGAGATACTGGCAGACCAGGACTGAGTCAGAAACCTGATCCAGAGCAGACTGGAGACAAACTCCACTGGAACCGGTACAGGGGAGAAACCACTGAGCGAATGAGCCAGAGCCAGAGCCTGCTGAGGATCCAGATGTGAATCTGGGACCTTCAAGTGAGTAGACCTAAGCTGGGACCCTGTAAGTCTGGGCATGAGTCTAGGATCCCTGGTGAACTAGGCCTGAGTCAGGACCTCTGCCAGTCTGGACATGAATCGGGGACCTCTGAGGAAGTAGGCAGGAACCAGAGATCTCTGCAGGGCCAGGTATGAGTCTGGGACCTCAGAGGGTGTAGGCCTGAGCCAGGACCTCTATGGGTCTGGGTGTTGGTCTAGAACATCAAAAAAATTAGGCAGGACCTGAAACTTCTGAGGGTTCAAGCATGAATCTGGGACCTTTGAGGGAGTAAGCATGAGCCAGGTCCTCTGTGGTTCTGGGTGCATGCAAGTCTGGGAACTCCAAGACAGTAGACCAGATTCAGAGATCTTTGCAGGACCAACTCCAAGTTAAAGACTTTGGCAGGAGGGGATCCAGACCAGATTTACAGAAACAGCTCAAAGCCAGTAACCTAGGCCAAAGTAAACCTAAGACAGCAAACTCCAAGGGAGCAGAACAAAGCCCAGGAGTGCTGAGCTATCTCCAGGAATACAGAGTAACCAATGGAGTAACTAGAACTGTGGCACTGACTGTACCAAGAGGAACAACCATCTGAATTTTGAATTCACTGACACCTAGAAGATTAATCAACAGAATCTCAGACAGCCCCAACCATACCTGTAGAAAAGGTAAGAATATACACAACACCACAAAAGTAATACAACACCAGTAAAATCTAAAGACCCTACAACAGCAAGACTTGACCAACCAAATATAAATGAAGCAGAAGAAATTGACCTAAAAAATAACTTCAGGAGAATGTTTGAAACTTTTTTTTGCCATTTACAAGTTTAATATCTCCTACTAGTATGTTTAGTGCTGATGCAGAAGACAGGGAGATTTCTACAGATTAATGCGCTAGGCCGCATGAAGCTCACTTGCGAGACAGAGACAGTGCTGGCAGTGAGGCAGGGCCAGAAGCTCACATCTTCAGCAAATAAATCTACTGCCACTCCTACGCCATCCCGGCTTTCTGCCTGGAACCCCTACCCTTCCTCTCTCCCTTTTTCGGGGCTTAAATTCCTCCAACTCAGCCTGGGTGGGCACCGCGGCCGGGACGGGCAGTGAGTGCAAATGGGAGGGAGTTCCTTTGTTTTAATAGCCTGCCTACAGCAAGGTAGGACTGCAGGCAAAGTGATTCCTGGATAGCAAGGGGCACTAATCCAGTAGAAGAAGACTCAGCGGAGGGAAGAGCCATTGGAGAGCATCTGAAGGAAGAGATGGGCAGGCGCCAAGGCAAGAATTCCTCCAACAATCTGAAAAACAACATGAAAACACCAGATCCCAGCGATCTTACGACAGAAGGAATTGAACACCCTATTCCAGAAGAAGTGGAAAACAGTGTCATTATGAAAGCAATAGAGTCTCTTAAACAGGGTATGAATAACTCACTTAAAGAAATAGAAGAGAAATATAACAAAAAGATGGAAGAAATGAGTAAAGAAATGGAAGAGAAATATAACAAAAAGTTTGAAGAAATGAGTAAATTCCTAAATGATACCCTGGGAAACCAAGAAAAAACAATCAAACAGGTAATGGAATCAGTTCAAGAATTGAAAACTGAAATGGAGGCAGTGGAGAAAACACAAACCGAGGGCCGGCTGGATTTGGAAAATCTAAGTAAACAAACAGAGACTTCAGGAACAAGCATAACCAATGGAATACAAGAGATAGAAGAACGAATCTCAGATTATGAAGACACCATAGAGAAAATAAACGCTCTGACCAAAGAAAACAACAAATCCAACAAATTCTCATCACAAAACATTCAGGAAATATGGGACATAATAAAAAACAAATCTAAGAATAATAGGAGTAGAAGAAGGAAAAGAATTGCAGATCAAAGGTCCAGAAAATATATTCAACAAAATTATAGAAGAAAACTTTCCCATCCTAAAGAACGATATTCCTATGAAGGTTCAAGAAGCATACTGAACGCCGAATAGACTGGATCAGAAAAAAACATCCCCTCGTCATATAATGATCAAAACACAAAGCATCCAGATTAAAGAAAGGATATTAAGAGCTGCAAAGGAAAAAGGTCAAGTAACTTATAAAGGTAAACCTATCAGACTTACACCAGACTTCTTTATGGAAACCATGAAAGCCAGAAGGTCCTGGATAGAGGTACTGTAGAAACTAAGAGACCATGGATGCAAGCCCAGACTACTATACCCAGCCAAGCTATTGTTCACTATCAACACAGAAAACAAAATATTCCAGGATAAAAACAAATTTAAACAATATGTAGCTACAAATCCAGCCTTACAGAGAAT